TTATTATGTACGTGTCTCAATTCAGTGACTAATGTTTAAACACGATGTTAAAAGTAGAAGTTCAAACGGTTTCACCACGGCTATACAGATTGATTTTACCTACTTAAACGATAGCAATATTTATGACCCTTCCATCGTAATCACGTAGATCAGTACTTCTATAAATATCAAATATAACCTATGTTTAGGGATTTTCATCTAATAAAAGGTTCGAAGATGAGAAGTCGACGATATATATCCGAAACTGCTGAGCGAGATTCTCCCAATATAGATGAATGCAACAAAATGCAGTTGTAAATTCCATGTAATCTTTCAATTTTGTAATATGCAACAATGTACTTTGTCATTTACCTTCGCTTTCAATTGTCTTATTGCTTAACTTAGTTTTTTTTTTGCCGCAAAGGGCCTCAACCGTGGATTAAAGATGAACGCTTCGAGTTCTATATATGACACTATCTTTGCTTCACACGCTTGGTCCCTTCCAGCACAAAATGAATTGTATCTGTGGCCGGTTTCAAACCTAGATCGCTCCAGGTGTCCTCAAGTTTAAATGTTTTGACTTTCAGTATGGCCATTAAGCATTGTTGAAATTGCTGTCTCTTAGCACAAAACGATGCGTGCTTATGACCAGTTTCGAACCTAGACATGTGTGTTCTTACATTTACTAAGCAAACACGTTACCACTATATCATCACATTGACATTAAATTGCCCAATATGGGCTAGTGGCGACTTTTGTTTCTGGTATCTAATACCCTATCTATGAATCCACTTTACCCTCCAGAAAATCGTCACGTCTAGATGTTGTCAGGTTTATGCCTAGCTCAGAATAAAGCACAATGCCTTGTGTCCTTTTGCGTCATGAGGCGGCCTGCTTTTGTACCTCGATCTTCTGTCGGCGCCACGTACGGTAGTATAGAACGTCTAATTACGTAGGCACCATGAAAACATCACGAACTTCTTGCTTTGAAGTTTCTATAAGGTCAAATACATGTGACGCACTATATTTGCCGTTAGGATGTCCGAACTTGTTCTAGCTCTATTCAGCGAAACTTCAATTTTCCAGTAACTAGAATTTAGCGTTTCTTTTAAACGGCCACATTAATCACCGGAGAGAAAACTAATTGGCTGTCGGTGCTTAAGAAAATGGAAACCTAAAAAATACTTTTAGGTAGTTGCTCTTCTATGTTAGTTGGAGAGTTATTGAAGTCTATTAAAGTGTGACGACAAAACGGCCTAGCTATATCGGTCGAAACTTCTTCTGATATCAATGTCATTATTCGTACATAGTGTACTGGCTGCTTTACCGCTTAAGGAACTCATTAGGTATAGCAAAAAATACCTGCAGGAAGCTTCTTCAGGTTACTTCTTGAAGTTCGTGTCAAATAAGCTTTCTGTATATACCGACAGTTTGCTCTACCGATAAATGTGAACGAGCAGGATTTTGTCTATGCAACCAGAATAGACTATAAGATTGATGCTACCATAAGAGCTTTGTGATGGAACTTCGTCACATGGTTCAAGTGTTTACAGTTGTTAGAAGTGGTTAGAGAAAAAGCGCCGGCACACGCTCGGTAGTTTGCAATAACAGTCTGCTTTAAAGAGGGCGCTTTAAAGAGGATAAGCTAAACGCTTGTCATGAGCTGTTAACAAAAATATGGATAATCCAAATAAAAAGAAAGTGCATTTTAACTACTTTTGTACTATACCTTTCACCGAAGCCAAAACGCTACCGAAACATCCTGAGACATCTGCTTTGTGTACGCTAATGGTGTTTTTGCTGAATGGACTGGTCAAAATAGCCTTTCTAAAAGCCGTATCCATGACCTAAACCATGCCCCACTCTGGCCAACCGCCTGAATTTTATGATGCCCATTTGAGGGCATTTTTGAAAAAAGGGTTATCGAAAACATATCGAGGAATCAACCATAAAAAATCGGCTAGAGTTTCAGGGCCGTCGTTAACCACCTCAAATTCCTTGCGTTTACACGGAAACTTGGAAATCGCTTACGTCATAATCTCTTTCTATTCAACAAGGAATTGCGGTTCACCATTACATCTCAGCATATAATGACTTTACTGAGTGATTTTTACACAACATTGTTACCGGTGATGGGAAATGGTATTTATACGTCACTATGAACCAGGGATCTAAATGTGTGATTTTAGGTAAGAAGCCAAGGCCCAAGGTCCTATCAGATTCAGGTCATTCAAAAAAAAATTGTTTGTGTGTCTTGTAGGACTGCAAGGATCTAATTCACTGAAAATTGGTTCCTATGAAACATATGGTTGATCGGTACGTTTATTTTGTACTAAGTCATCCAGGCTATCCAAAGACAAGTCCAGATTTGCCAAGTCAGCTCATTCTGCATCGTAGCAAAACGATAAACGTAAAACACCGCAAAGTCTGCCCGCCCGGACATCGAATGGAAGGTTGTACTCCAGTCCCATAGTCTACGCATCGTGTGCCGACGAATTTTCAATATTTCTATTCGTTTTGTGTTCTTACCTTCGACACTCAAAACGTGAATGATAAATCTTCTTAAAATAAACCTACTATTTTCCGACGAGACGGTTTATATCGCTTACTGGATTGATAATAGAAAATCGTGAACAATAACGGGAAATACATAGGATAATAACTTATTCTCACAGAAGGTGGTATTTTCTATTCAGTAAAAACACGGGAACTTATTATGAATCAGTTATATATACATTTTACAGTGGTTCGTTTGACTATGTAAGCATCATCATCCAAGATGATTTGCTTTCGGAGATTTACGGGTAAGCTTTTAAAACACCTTATGGCAGTCTCTAATAGAACTTGCTTCGCGACATCGATGATTGCCCACAAAGGTCCCTACTAAATAGCTACAATAAGTGGTTTACAGGTCATCTTAGCTTTGAAGCCAACCAAAAAAAAAAGGTGGTTTTCTGAACAAGTAGAGCTTATTGTTCAATAGAAACATGCTGAATACCAGATGAATATAACAGACGCCATAGACGTCTCGATTTTCTTAACTGTTGAGTCATAGAAATGAAGCGATCGAAAGAGAGAGAGAAAGCAAAAAGAAAATATTATACAAGCCTGAATCTAATTGTATAAATCTGTGTCTAAAATAACATTATGTTTATTGCCACCGTGTATACAATGCCAGCCAGGTTGGCAAAGCTTGAAAGGACCAAATGAACGGTAGCGGCCTAGCGCACCTCTTAGATAAATCATCATATAATGCTGTAGACGTTACACATTCGTATACTACATACAGGAAATGTATGAATATGGGCTTGTAAGGTTCGTGTAGGGTGTTGAATTGAAGATACACTTTATATGGCTGATCGCATACGGATCTGAAAGGCCATGTATTAATCGTGCTACTCATAGTACTGCTTCTGTATAGGCCCCTACCGTGAACTGAAGGCTCAGAAACTATTTGAATCACTTTGCTGAATGGATAAGTAATCCAAAAGCTTTTCTATCATCAGTAAAACTTTTTTAGCTGCCTATGTTTCCTCTGCTTAATAATACCCCAGATTAATGCCGAGGTGCATTGATGATACCTTCTAATTTTATATGATCCTAGCAATGGTCTCGGAGCAATCTCGACGATGGTTAAATATGGTCCGCCTGTTTTTATCAATTTTTTTTTATTCAAATTTATCAAAGATATCAAATTTTGTCATTTGTTTGAAATTATTATGCTCATACTTCTTTACGTTCAATAATTAGTGTACTTAGAAAAGCTAAAGTACGAATACGTACTTCTCACGTTCATATTCATTAAGTGCCTAAAACAAGTTCCGATAAAGTAAATATTTATTAGGATTAATTATATAGGATTCTACGAAAACTACGAAACCTGAACAAAAAACGGATCACATTGACCAGACAAAAGTTGGTGCAGTTTTTTACGCTAAGCGTTTAAGAAGTTTCGTATGAAAGTATCCTACACCTGGCTATCACTGTAGGCGATGCTAGGAAACGGATGATTCTTATACAGACCTATTTTGTCTGTTTGTTTGACCAAGTTTTTCAACTACGTCGGCCTTTTTATATATATTCAGCAGATTTTCTGCGCTCTGTCCGTAAGAGCCACATTAGACGAATTCGTATTTGAAATTCTACAGGCATACCCCAGCAAATGCGTATTGTATCAATGAGGGCTTTCAGCTGGAACCATCAATTAAAGGTTTGAATGCTGTGATTATCATAATTTCTTATAAGAGGCTTGGGGCGAAAGGAGCTTCTATGGGAAGAAGCTAAATGAACCGGCAAGGGCCGGGGTTAAAGCGGTCTGGCAGAATAAAACTTTCTTGGTCAAACGGAACTGAAAATGGGCATAGCTAGGAACTGTTGCAAGCTTTACGGCGTCTTACCGCTGAAGTGGAGCATCGCGCAACGTAAAGAATAGTTCTACTATAGTATAAAAAACGGGGCCTGTTAATGCAATTTATCATAAGCATTAACTGTAACATTTCATTATGACGCGCGGCCTTTTAGCCCATTAACCTTTAACCCTCTCAAAAGCTGTATGCAGATAACTACAAAACCTGTAGACAAGTTGAAATATCCTCACTTAGGTGAGCCTAAGTCTAATTTTAAGAGGTAAACATTTTATTCAGGCAACGTACAAGACGTCGGTAGCGTTATGCTGTTTCCGTAATTGCCTGTAATTGAAGTTTTTGCTAAACACCGTACACAAAATGCTGGAAAAAGGAACTTATTTAGATGTTAAGTGCAGTGTAGCCCGTTAAATTTTTTCTCATTGTTTTATGTGAGATTCGGCGGATGCCCACTTCCTGAAACGACTCACAGTCTTCAAGTTGATTAGTAGGCCTGTGTTTATATAAATGTCTTAGTAATTTCATCATAAGTTATACAAGCCCCCACAAGCTTATATAAGTCTTCTACTTTTTGAAGAGCCCTAAATGAAATTGATCTCAAACGGTATTCACTACGTTCCCTCGTCTCTTAAAACTACGGTCATCGCTTCAACTTACGGTTATTGGCAACAACGTAAAGCAAAAATACACAAGTCACTCGAAGTTTGATGTCGCATCCACAGATCCGCATGGCAGTAGGAGTAATGTTCAATAGGCCTACATATATCACTTATAACACAGTTTATTTAATCCGAATTTTGCTGATATAATTATCACACAGTCGTTCACGCACATTCACTGCGTGCGACGTCCTTCGGTGGCACATCGGACATTGGCAGGAGTAGGAGACCCACTGAGTTTCAGAAAGAGTGTAAAGCTTGTGAACAAACTCGTCCGGCTACCGTCGCCCAGCGCGCTACGTACCTCGTGCAATTTTTGCTTCCCTTTCCACTCTGTTCGCCCTCGCTCAATTTTATGAGGTGTACCCAACGACGTGGGGTGACCGTGTAAGCGAAATTATGCTTAACAAAGCCTGTGTTATCTACGAACGGGTGGGCACGTGGGTCGAATTGTTTAGGACTACCGACTGTAATGGTAATTGATTCTACTGCAAAGTTTTTAGAAGCATAGATGACACTACTTTTTTCACATGTATCCGTATGAATACGATTAATAATAGTGCGAAATAATACAAATTTTGCTTATCATTTCCAATGTTGTAGGTCACGCCAAAAAAAACCTTCGTAAGGGTGACATTAGCCACTATTTTAATAGATTTTAACAAATCCCGCTTGTCGCTGTAGGTATGAAGGTCACTGCGGTTTGGAGCTTTCCACCTTCACTTATGTCAAAAAATCGTTTTACTGAGTTGACTATTACTTTAGGCTATACGACTGACGTAGCCATTTTATACAAGCGTAAACCTTACAAATAGGTACCATCGATTAGCTTCCAAGCCAAGATGCGCCTCTTGCTATTGAGCGGATGTTCTAAGTAGAACTGGTCAACCTAAGGGCGCCTATGGGTCTCCATTTATTAGAGCTAAGTTAGTCCTTTTTCATATCATCAGATGTTTCGCATACTGACCACCCGATAGGTCTCTGAGAGCAAGCTGCAGACTACTTTTCAGAGAATATCAGACAACTCGACCAAGCAGGGGAAGGCGTGAGTGGCATTCTCCTAGTAGGCAGAACACAATGAAGAAAAGCATGTCTTCTTTTTAGTCTACTAGACTGACTTCCAGCAGGTAAGATTTCGTGCAAGTTTTCGTCAAACGACTTGGGGCGACGTCACGCAAGCATTATACCTTATAAAGTGCGCGAATCGTGTTATCAGTTTTAATTGACCGAGGAGCCGGTAAAGTCACGTAGCCTGAGAGTGATTTCGTATTCTAGCAACGCTCAAAGAAATGCAAAAAACGCTGTACGGATAAAGAAGACGACGATTTGAAGTCAATTTTGGGCGCTTTTAGTAATTCCACAGTCGTCACCTGCGGAAGTTGTTGTCTGTCGAATATATTTAGGGTGAAGCCTGGGTAAGCGGGTCGAGCAAATATGTCAAAGAATGTATATTCGTTTATTTATGAACCCGGTCGGCCTGAATGATATCCTTGTTAAATTCCAACTAGCCTGATAACGTTGTTTTTATACATTTAATCTAGGCCATAAGTCGAAGACTAATTTTAGCTGTAATAGTACACAGTGATACACTATCACACACCTTGTATGACTCACGCACGTAGAATTTTTTTAATTCATACGCACCCATACAAGACCAACATAGTCTGTGACACAAAGCCCGATTTAATCTCTATATAATTATACCTAAACAATTATAGTTGATTTGTTTTTCTGCTTAAACATACAAAGCACAGTCCAAGCAATATGGCATGTACCGATGTACACATATTAATCATGGTATATTTTCTTTCAATCATACATATATCTGTTCGATCTATATAGTTTAAGTTGAAATTTTAGCAACAGCATTGAAAATAATTGTTCGTATTGAATTAAGTCAACCCTTGCTGAAGACGATCTAATTTATAACATGACTATTTGTTACTTCGTACACCTTTACTATAATTTTTCATAATAGTACCTGTGATGACGGCCGGATCTACTAATTGCCGGCTAATTCTTAGACCGAAAGTAAAACAATAGCGATAGATGTTGTATGGTGCCCAATTGAGCAGGACCATTTCAATCAATGATACCTTAGGACTATGTGACCTCCACATTAGTGGAAATATTCAGTTGTGGCCATGACCACTGTTCAAGTTTCCTAAAGGCAGCTACGTTTTGATGATGTCAAAGGGAATCGATTGTAAAACAATTAGTATAAGCATAGCTCTAAAAACCTAGATATTCAATCAACGTCGACCTGACAATGTCAAATATTCACAGAGTAAAAACAAAGTGAAGTTCGAAAGTTTTACTTGACGAAACTTGCTTATGGGTTCACCTTAACAAACTGAGAAGGCTCCTAACAGTTCCTGCCTAAAACAAAAGGAATCATCAAGGAACATTTATAGGCTCACTGGCGACGAGTGAATATTCACTTCGTAATAGTCATTAGAGCTCGTAGTGTTGTTAATTTCATGAGTGAGCCACTCGCCGGTCGAAATCTGTTAGATTCCCAATCGACTTAATGCCGATATCTCGGTCAAAAACTCGCCTTAATAATATAGACCCGTGTATAACTTGTGTAATTACTGTAAATTCCATCTATGAACAGAATTCATACATCTTGCATTCGACAGGTCGACTGTCGCCGTTGGGCGCGTTCGTATAGTTTTACTATTTCTAGTTAAGAACAGTCGTCAATTTCTTTGACTGCAAAGGCCACATTCACTATCTTTCTTTGATTTATCACAGACCTTCTACGGTGTCCGACGTAAGCAAGGATCAAAACGTCGCGTTTCTAGGGAATAACGGCATTCGTTACGCTTTAAATACGCTCAATGAGGACGCAATTTAATGGATGTAGTATAAGCATTGTCAATATGGGAATATGGGCATTTATATACTGATTCAACGGCACGAAGTTTTTTCTATAGGACCGCGAAAATTCCGTTCTACTGTCAGAAGGATAACAATCCGATTAGCTCGCATCCCTACCAAATAGGGGAACAGCTGAATATGGCAAACAACTCTCTCTAATTTCATTTCTAGCACAGTCAAGACCTAGTAGCAATCGCTTCGAGCCAGGCGGCGGGACCTTACTACGCCAAACAACGGTACGAGATATACTTTTTTCTATATCGTAATGGTTCTCAGTTTTCAGTAAAATATATTATGCTGTCCGAAGATTAATGGCGACCTTGTCAGCGGACGTGTACCTCTGGAACGACCCCTTTTAGTAATTGAAATCGTGGTCGAAATAAAATGTTAGGAGCTTTGTAGAAGCAGCTTATGAAATTTACTCCGTGTGCAATAAAAAATCTTTAGGTAAGCGATATAGGCTTCAGAGGATCTTGATAAAGGATAGGTTTGTAGGTAATTTTTTATACAGTGGAAATAACAATTCTTAATCTATAACTATAATCGGCACAGCTGGTATTAAGCAACGACAGGCTAGATTGTTTCGCTTAACATTACCGCGCGACCCAATGCCTGGGCCCCCGATAAAATTTCAAATCAACTCAGTAATGATCCGCTCAAAATCTATATCAACGCCTTTAGGCCCTTTACTAAATAAGTATCTATTGGAATTAATTATAGCCTATACATAGAATTTCATATAAATGCAAACATGTACTCAACGTCGCAAGTCTCATTGTGAATAGATGGACAGTAAATTATTATGAAAAATAATAAAACAACAATTAGTTTCGGCATTCGATAGCGAACGCTTGTAGAAAAGGAACGACATCTGGGGAGGAAAAGGAAAATTGACATCTCTCAAGTTACGGCTAGACGTACAGGCTAATATAATTGTGTGAAGAGGGTGGGTCGTCGAGAACATCGTCTCGTTCATCCAGCCGTCCAACGTGAAAGCTCCTGTAAATCGTACGAGACGTAAGCAATCGCACAGCCTTAATGGTCTTACGAGCGCGCTGCACTATGGACAATGAACATGAAAATCGCCAAAGAGCGAAGTTTCTAACAGTAACTGGTTCACTTATTGATTAAATGATCGTTAAAATATCCGGCATACAGCGGCGATATACAGTAATGGCCTGAAAACTTATGTGCCTGCAGCAAAGGAGGGCATTTGCCTTATCAACGATGATCCAACGAATCAAAAGAGAGATGTCAATTGGACACAGAGTGATTATTATCATATTTCAAATATTGCCGCTATTTTCATCGTCTAAGCTCTTGCACGACTGCAGCAAGGTATTCTCCATCATCACACTTCCCGTGACGAACTGTGACGACAGAATTTCTATTCTAGAAATCTGACTTTCTAGCTTCAGTTCCCGTCCACGCTTTATTTAACGGTAAAATCATGCAAAAATGTGCTGTTGTCACCACTGTTTGATGACATAGTATATATATGAATGCACAATGACCTACGATGGCAATTTTTTTATTGATACCTTCAAAGCTTGCTATAACTGGAAGACAATAGTGATATCAGTTAGCAGTTAAAAATATCATGTAGACTATATACGCGAGTGATCGAATAGTGTTATAATTCTGTGATGAATTCCGCCATTCATACGTTCGCTGCCTTTTTTCCTTGTTGATGGTAGCCATCAACTCGAAATCAATTCGAGCGTGAGCGTAGCTTATGCTGGGAGACACAATGCCTAACGGCGATGCTGTCCGAATCATTTAGTTAGTTGAATTGAAACGCGGCAAAGGCGGGTTTGCAACGGCTGATGCCACTCCATCAGCTACTGCACCTCTCTAAGGTAACGTAATTAGTTTCGTTACTGATACGTATGGGCACGATATACTGCCTCCAGCAGTCCACCGTAGATAGCGACGTCCTCTAGCGCCAATGCTGACATTGCGACGTTTGTAGATAGTGCTTAAGGTAGCAAGTAAGTTAACGAAATGATTTGAATCGCTTGTAGTTCTTGGGGTAGAGAAACAATGCACACAGATTGTTCAGTAAGTTACGCAATTTAATTGCGAAATATATTAACTGCATGAGATGAAGTTACCTACCATTGAATTGAGCTCGATCGCACGAACTAGAATAGCATATTTCTCCATTCAACTGGGTAGCTGCTGTTGTATTTGTGACACTCCATAGAAGCATCAAACCATTCGTAAGCTTAAATTATACTTTCTCTTATTGCGTATTCTAAAGCATTAAAAAAACCCGAGGTGGCAGCAGCTTCGGATATTTATGTGTGTATGCGCACTATGACAA